AAAAAGTAATCGTCGCATTAAAGGCAGAAAGCCTATTATAAATAACTTTTGTGGGTCAAGCCCAACTAATTTACCAAGTTGACTAAACCCGAAGTGGGGAACTCGCGTTAAGCTGAGCTCAGTTCTCGCGTTCTAAAGAGAAAGGCCTGATCAACCTAAAAATCTCGAAAGCATAGTCACAAGGCCAAAAAGGGTTAAACGCGGACTTTGCAAACCCGCACACAGTTTTAACCAAACCCTCTTGGGATCATGACCTAAAAAGGTTTAAAAGCCTCCTCAGGCAAATATTTTGTTCGAAGTAAAATGACAATAAAGCCTCCTTAGGCAAAACATGTTCAAATTTAAGTTTTAAAATAACTAGGACAATCCCCAATTTAAAGTGGACACAGCCACTATGGATTAACAGCCACCTCAAACTCCGTCTCGGCTGTCAAAGTTTCATTCACCTCCTTGGCTGGTGCTTGATCAGATGAAGCTCCTGGTCCGCTCTCCACGGTACAACCATCCGTCGGGATGACCTCCGGCGTAGCTGGAACTTCGGGAGGGGCGGCATCTTCCGCCTCACTTGAGCCTAGGAAGGACAGTTCCAGTCAACAAAAAAAAAGTAATAATAATAAGGCAAGAAAAAGATAGTAAGTATCGAGAGTTGGAGATTACCTGCCCAGTCTAGACCCGATTCACTTGGGGGAGGTGATTCAGTGAAGAATTCCTCGAAGTGATGTGGGTTGAAGGTTGAAGCAGGGATAGCTGCCAAGCGACTCCGTTTTTCAGATAAATTAGCGGTCAGTTCGGACCTTTCCTGCACTTCGGAGAAATCTTTGTCATGGATCTGATCCAACTGGATCAGGTTGCTCTCGTGCTCTTTGATGTCAGATTCCAGATCAGACCTAGATTTCTCAGCTTGAATGAAGCGGATGGCCCCTTGGATCAATTCCATCCCGCGTCCCTTGACCTCTTTTCTGGCCTTCGATGCTGACCTTGCTAACTCGGAATCACGCAACTTGGCGATCGCCTGGTACTTAGCGTTAAGCTCGATAAGTTGGTTGTTCATGGTATCGGCGGATGATTCAGATTCATGAAGTCTACCCTGAACACCAGAAAGTTCATCCTGAAGCTTGTAATTCCGGTCGTACTGGTCCTGCAGCTCCCCCTTTATCTTCGCAAGCTCGGATGTTAGACCGTCAACCTTGTCCTCCAGATCGTACTTGGAGTCGGTAGAAGAACGGAGATCAGCCTCGAGATTAGAGAACTTGCTCTTCCACGTGTCAATCTCCTTTTCCCGACCAATGACCAACCCTTCGTAATGTTTAATTATATCATTGAGCTCGCTGTTAGCCTGACATTACATATAAACCCGGGATGACGGATCAGTTCGAAGAATGACAGTGAAATCAGAAATATGAAGCGGAACTAACCCAAGATGAATGATGAGCATGAAGTAGGTAGAGTTCGCGAATCGCAGAACGCCACTTGTTAAAATCCGGCAGGATCGCACCTAATCGGGTTTTGAAGTACCGAAAGACGTTACCCTCTTTCTCCATGGCTAGGAAAGCAAAAGAGGAAGGGTCTCAGAAATTCAGAATAAGTACAAGGCGAAAAGAAAAGAATACATGTATATCATCATACCTGAGAGCGATTTGATCTAAGGAACAAGAGCAGGCTTTGTCTTCGAAGGGTCATCTCGCGACTCAGAACTTTCCTTCGGAGAAGCTGTACTCTGGTTCGTCTTGTCGCCACTACGTTGAGAAGAAGAAGACATATCGACAGGACGAGGAGGACCCATTGGTTCAGTAGGATGGGACGATCGAGGAGAACGGTCAGTCCGGACCCTTGACTTCTCTCTCCACGGAGAAGAACCACTGCGAGATGACCTGTCCCTCTTCTTGCGAATTAAATCCTTAAGCGGTTCATTGCTAAAGTCATCTCGGGAAGAACGAGGAGAGTCACGATGAGGAGATTGAAGCCTCTGGGGAGGACGGTCATCGCGACGTTCACGTCGAGGTGTCAATCTGAAAACGACGACGGATCTGGCTCCTTCGGTGCTACCGTCGTCAACCAACAAGGTTTTGCTATAATCTTCTTTGTCAATGGCGGTCGCAAGGAACGCCTTGTTCTCGTCATATGCCTCAGCCATCGGCTTGGAGATCATTTTTCGCTGGTGATAGTAGGATTTTAACTAAGATCAATTATCCTTAAAGTACAATCATGTCATTGCAGTATTTAAGGTGTCAATCCAAATGGGTGTGATGCTAGCAATTAAGATGCAATCAGATATCATAGAGTCAAGCCAAGCAATAACAGGTTTTGGTGTTGTTAATAGCTCTAGCGATCATGCAGATAACAGAAATTCTAACAATAACAAGCAATATACTCGATCACACAGCTTGATGCCAAGCACTGGATGTGGTCGAGTATCAGGTCGAGTAATTTAACAGAAACTGTAAACAGGGTACTTGACTGCACAGTTTGTTACCAAACTACTAGGTGTGGTCGAGTACTTCGTTTGAAACAGGGTAGAAATGATAAAACTGAGCAACAAGTAACAAGATCAAGCAATCAATAGCGATGTAAACAAGGAGATCAAATGGAAGAGAAATTCCCGAGAATGGGGTGATCGAGTAGTGAAGTCTCCTTAATCTAACAGGTGGTTAACATGCTCAACAAACTATCCCTAGACAACAAGTTCAATAGCCAAATCAAAGTGCTACCGCAACAGAGATCCTCAAGTAAAGCTAGTCCCAGACTCAACCACCATTGAAGAGAGCTAACCTAACAGGCATTACGAAACAACAAGTCTAAGCCAAAACGCTCCATGTAACCAATACCTTGGTACAGAGCCACGAATCTCTGGAATTAGTGGTTCAGACATTTCATCGAACACCTTTTGGGTGCGGAAATGTCTGGGCTCAGATTCCAGTTGATCAGAAAGCAATCAGCATTAAGAACAACTAATCCAGAAGGGATCTACCAATCAAACTCAACCACCTAGCAGATCAAGGATTCTAAACTACTCTAACCCATCCTCAAGAACCCTAATCACTACTCAAAATTCATAACCAAGAACACAAACCCAGAAATACATAAAAACTTCATATTAGCAAGATCTCAACAAGATGAACAACTTTATAGAAGAAATCAAAAGCAAATACTCAATAGATTAAGAGAAATCTGGATTACAAATATGAAGAAAGCACTAATTGTTCTGCAGAATAAAACTTAGTCTGAAAATTATGAGAAACAACCTATTTATAGCAAATACTAGGAAACCCTAAATCACAAGACGACAAAGTATTAAGGCGGTTTACGGAGATACTCGACCCTTGTGATCGAGTAGAGAGGTTGAAGAAAGTTGGCGTCTTTGCGATTTCTTGCTCTGGGCATGTTGTGATCGAGCACTTTCGATTCTTCCTCTCGTCTTCGATTCGTTTCTCACTCCTTTCTCTCTCTGTTCTCTCTGTAATGGCGCCTGTTGGAAAGGGGAAAGCAAGTAGAGGCCGTGGTAGAGGCCGTGGTGGGAGATCCGGTGCTCGAGTTTTTAATGGTAAAAACCCTAGCCGTGGCGTCGGATCGTCATCTCACGCCTCCAATCCTTCGTCTTCGAATGCAACAGCTTCAGCTAGTCAAACATTTAGGGCAACTACTCCAGCTCAAGATCCGCCGTCGTCACAACCACCACCTCCTCCTCGTCTTTCATCACCGCAAGTTAGTGGTCAACCTCCTAATTATCAACAGCCGCCTCTCAATTATCAGCAGCCACCTCCTAACTATCAGCCGCCGCCTCCTAACTATCAGCCGCCGCCTCCTAACTATCAGCCGCAGCCTCCTTATCAACCGCCGGGTCCTTATCAACCGCCGGGTGCTTATCAGGTATGATTGATTACAAACATACTTACCTGAAATACAATCTTCCGACACTTAGGGTTTTGTTCTAATAAATCTTTTTATTAGATTCCTCAGGACCAAGTCCATCCTCATCAGATTCCCCAACCTCAAATGCGTCCTCAGGAAAACCCTAATGATCCACCGCCTGACTACCAGCAGATGTTAGAGAATTTGTTGGTTTTGCCTGGCCGAGAGCATCTTCCACGTCTAAGTAGAGTACCAATTCCAGACGTTGAGACTATATGGTATAAATCGTGTCTATTTTGTTAAGTGTTTATACCATAAATGGATTAGGTTAATGTTTAGCTTAGTGTTTTTCATTGATTAGGTTAATGTTCTAGCTTGTTTATCTGTTAGATCACTTGTTGGTTTTTACTAATGTCTGTTTTGTCTAAGTAAGTGTTTGTTTTGTTATCTAAACCGTCTTACATTGATTATGTTAATGTTCTAGCTTGGTTATCTGTTTTGATCACTTGTTACATTGTCTGTTCTAGCTTGATAATTTGTTTTGATGTTATGTTAATGTTTAGCTTAATGTTTTTCATTACATTGGTTCTCATTTGTTTTTGTTCTAGCTTGATAATCATAAATTGAGGCTATTAGATTAATGTTCTAGCTTGATAATCATAAATTGGTTCTCATGTGTCTGTTTAGATCACTTGTGCATTGTCTATTAGATTTATGTCTAATGTCTGTTTTTACCTATAGGTTTGGCCGAGACAAAGGAGTACTGTCTAGGAGTATTGCTGGAATATTTCGGAGAAAATTTTTATGGACCTTACTATAGTTGGAAAGTGACTCCTACAACCATTCAAGAGCGATATTTCAGATCATTTGCGGTAATGTTTGATATTCCTTTGAATGCTTAATAGTATATGTTAAAATGAATCAGTATGAGTCATATACTAATTCATACTAATCTGTGTAGGGGAAGTTCAATTGGGATATCGGGATTACCGAGCTAGTTAGAGAAGGATTCTTGGTCATCGCCAAGAAAAGGCTTAAAGGAATTGTTAGTGGAGCGAGGAGAACTGGTATACAACCCTATTGGATTACCAGTAATGACCTATGGGCACAGATGTGTGCTTATTGGAAAACTGAGGAAGCAATGGAGCGGAGTGAAAGAGAATCACAGTGCAGAAACAGTGATCGTAATGGTCTTGGAGTCCACAAACACGTATCAGGGCAAAAATCATTCATGCAAGTTCACCAAGAGCTGGTATGAATCTATATAACCTTTCTTTGTTTTTAAATATTGCACTTAGATCACTATATGTTGTTACCTCTGTTCTGTGATTTTAATGATGTCTTTGTATCATTATAGGAGGAAGAATTGGGGCGTCCTGTGTCATATGGAGAAGTGTTTATGCAAACACACACAAGAGCAGATGGTACTTTTGTGGATGCTAAAGCCAAACAAGTAGCTGAGGTCTATAATAAGAGCATAGAAGAGAGACTGTCTGAACTGGATGAAGATGGTGTAGACGCTTCAGATGATTCCTCTCAGCAGTCAACTCACCGGACTCTCACCATTGAAGAAAAGAATGAACTCTTTCTTAAGGTAATTTCGTGTAAGTTTTTGTTTAGAGTTTGAATATCATCATCACTGTTTGGTAATCATATATAGAATCAGTCCATGTATTATGATTAATACTTGAATGATTCTGTTTTTGATGAGCAATACTTGAATGACTCTATTTGCTAATACTAGAATACTTGACTGATTCTATTTTAGCTTGAGCATGATTCTGTTTTTTTTTGCTTAAGTGTACTGAAACAGATGTGAAGGGGAACTATTTTGGCATTGGATCTCTTAAGGTGACCCTTAAGAAAGGGAAAAGAAAAGAAAGCTATGCTAGCAGCTCTTCTTCCTCCATTACTAAGCTTCATGATCAACTTCGTCAAAAGATGGCTGAGCACGACGTAGAGAATGCTCGAATTGCAAACTTGGAGAGGCTGGTAATGTATTGGAAAGAGAGTGATCCTGCCTTTGCAGCTTTTGTTGCATCTCAGCCACAACCAACTGCACCAGCCACCACAGCAGCTGCCAATGCAACAGCCACCGCCAATGGACCAGCCACAGCCGCCACTGCACAAAACAAAGCAGAAGAAATGGCTGGAGAAACCAATCCAGCCACTGCACCAACAGGAACCGTCGCAGCCACACCGACACCTTCTCCATCATTCTAAGTACTTTTGTTCTTTCTCTTATGAACATGATGAACATGATGGATCTTTTAAATGTATAAGGTTATGTGTAAGGCTTTTGATTAGCAACATTAAGGATTTAAATTAGCAACATTTTGGATGTATTTGAATTCGGAATATTTGTTTTTAGAATCCAAATTTATGCTTATTTGCGACTAATTAATAGTCTCTCAAACCCAAATTCGACTCAATTCTACGACTGTAATGTTTGTCAGTAATTAGTCGCTAACTATTAGGCGTAGCTAAGACGTCGTAAATATACGACTCCTAATTTCTGTCTCTATATCGTCGCTTATATGCGACAACATATATCAGTCTCTATACCGTCACAAATATGCGACGATAGCAACCAACGATTAGCGACCGTTTAAGGACTCTTTTGGGGGTCGCAAAAGGCATGTTTTCTTGTAGTGTATGTTTCTTTTCAGGAGGATTAGAAGCTTCAGAATCTTCTTTTTCTTTGTGATAAGATTCCACAAATTCCTTGATATTGAAATTAACGAGCTCTCCAGCTTCCCACATTTCGGTGAGGTGCTTTTTGAGTACGTTACAATCTTTGGTGGAGTGCCCGTTTACTTTGTGAATATCGCAATAGGTACTTTCATCTCTAACCCAAGTATTAGGAGGATTGTATCGTCCTCTGCTTGGGGAGGGTTTTCCTACAGCATTAGTAGCAGGATTAACTTTGAACCGTTTTTGATCTTTTGGTTTGAACTTTTTAGTTGGATTCGCAACGACTAATTTAGCTGGCCGATGCTTTTTAGCGAGGCTAAGCTTTTCTTCTTCTGCCTCCATCCAATTAGTAGCTCTGAATAAAGCATCTTGGATGGTACTTGGACGATTGACGATGATTTCTTCTCGAAATCGGGATTCATGCCAAAGTCCGTTCCTTAAAGCAGAAAGGACAGCAGCGTGCGATACCCCAGGAATTTTGGCTATCACTTCTTTGAATTTAGCGATATATTTGCGAAGTGGTTCATTCTGACCTTGGGTTAAATTCCAAAGATCCGCATCAGAAGTTGCCTTTTCCATGAACATGGAATATTATTTTAGGAATGCAGAGGACAATTCCTTAAAACTATCAATAGTTTCTGGTTCTAACTGGGTGAACCATAGCAGAGCCGGTCCGGAAAGATTCTCGGAAAATAGTTTGCAAAATCCAGCATCTTCCTCGCCTGGTTCTAGATCAATTCTGCCTGCGGCGATCTGAAAAGCAGCGAAGTGATTTTTAGGATCTCCTTTACCATCATAAGTTGGTAACTTAATCTTTCGAGAATCTTTGATCCGAAGGTTTGAGATTCTCGAGGTAAAGGGCGTTCGACGAGTTTCTTCGATTACTGGATCGATCTCAAGCGCCGAACTGGTAGCCTGATGAAATTTCGACTTCATCTCATTAAGCTCTTGACGAACTTTGATGAAATCATCAGATAGGGTGACATGAGGATCGTCCATAAGGAGTCCGTCCCACCTCCTGCGGCTGCCGGATTGCTAGTACTTGCTAGCTGGCCTGTTGGAAGAGTTCGAGTAATCTCGGGCGTCGCGAATAACCGGCGCTGATGCGTTGTTGTTTGCGTTGAGGACAAATTATCTAAACGGCTTGAAACAACGTTCTACGCGTTTGACAAATTCGTCTGGGTGGTTTTAACACTCGTTAAGGTTTGCTCGATTGAGTTCAACCTTTCACCAAAAGTGGTGTTGGCAGCAACAAGTGTACCCATCTGATTGGTCATATCGGTGGTTGTTTGAGTAAGCAAGGCGATTGCATCGCTCAATGCTTGTTGTTCAGCCATAGTTTCTTGGTTAGGGAAAGAAAGATTTTGAGATTAAAGAGTTTTGTGGTAAGTCCCCATAGGCTGCGCCAAAATGTGGATGTAGGATTCACACTCGATTATCTTTAAGTATTTCAGTGGAGAAAAACTCTTGTAAAATCATCAAAAATGAATATAAGAATTCGAAAGAGAAAATAACCAAGAAAAGAAGTAAAGGAATTTGACAAGAACGAAGTACCAAATGCCTTACGAAAGTAAAAGAGAGAAAGTATATTGTATTGCTTAGAAGTAATGAGTAAAAAGATTCGTCGCCCCCAAACACATGCGTTTGAGGTTGTTTTTATAGAGAAAACACATAGTGGAGAAAAACTCTTGTAAAATCAGCAAAAATGAATATAAGAATTCGAAAGAGAAAATAACCAAGAAAAGAAGTAAAGGAATTTGACAAGAACGAAGTACCAAATGCTTTGCGAAAGTAAAAGAGCGAAAATATATTGTATTGCTTAGAAGTAATGAGTAAAAAGATTCGTCGCCCCCAAACACATGCGTTTGAGGTTATTTTTATAGAGAAAACACAGTGGAGAAAAACTCTTGTAAAATCAGCAAAAATGAATATAAGAATTCGAAAGAGAAAATAACCAAGAAAAGAAGTAAAGGAATTTGACAAGAACGAAGTACCAAATGTCTTGCGAAAGTAAAAGAGAGAAAGTATATTGTATTGCTTAGAAGTAATGAGTAAAAGGATTTGTCGCCCCCAAACACATGCGTTTGAGGTTGTTTTTATAGAGAAAACATGATCAATGCGGTCATTTACTGCTCATAATCGCGTTGATCCGCATTAATCATATAAGTTACAATTTGACCAAAACGGCTTGAATTCAAACTATCTTGGGCTTCGCGTGGATCTTCCGAACTCTTTCTTGTTGACTCCGAACTCCCGCGTCTTGACGCTACCGCGAGCCTCGAACAATATTCTCCTCGCTTCGGCCTTTCTCTATGCGAACTGTCTGTCGAACAAGAGCGAACTCCATACTGGCAAAGATCGAGCTCTTTAATAAACTGAATCGAACTCCCAACTTGTCAACTCCAATAAAACATCTAGAAATCCAAGAGGATTATTATGTAATAATGACGTGGGCAGATCCAAGTGGATCCTACCAAAAATGTGTGGGATCCGACCCCAACAAGTAGAATTCTGTCCAAGGAAGGCATACCTTAGTCCTTTTGGCAGCAGTTTCAGGTCCACCTTGGGTGCCTTGAGTTCAGACCAGTCATCGGATGCTATGACAGAGCCAACAGAGGGAAGGTTGCGATCGAGTAGCTCGGTCGAGTAGACTGGATGGACTGTTTGTTGCGTGACGTGATCGAGTATATCCTCCTTCTTTGCTTTTCCAACCAAATCTTCATACTCCTCTGGATTCTCAGCTTCTTTATGCATGTCTAACAGCTTCTGGTACCCCAAAGTTTCCAAGTGTAAGTCTCCTTCCTTGCTATCCCTTGTCAGAGCACTCTGTAGATGGTCTTCTTCTGCTAATTCTTCTAGTAATTTGTCAGCTAACATATCCATCTCTTCAATCCAGAAAACCTTTCCTTCTATTGTAGGCTTCTTCATGGTGTTGGTGATATCAAAGGTCATCTTAAGATCTTTCCCAAGGTTAAGATCGATCTTCCCCTTATTGACATCAATTATAGCTCCAGGTGTAGCTAAAAACGGCCATCCAAATATTAGAGGGTCCTTGGGATTTCCAAAACCACGAAGTCTGTCGGTACTTCGACTCTGCCTATCATGACTGGTAAGTCTTCTAGCAGACCATGAGGTATTCTAATGGACTTGTCTGCTAGAATCAAGGATATGTTGCAGGATTTGTACTTGCTGAAACCAAGTCTATTGGCCACAGAGAGAGGCATGAGACTCACATATGCACCTAGATCACAGAGGCATTTGCTGAAGACCAAAGGACTGTTGGGGTCGGATCCCACACATCTTCGGTAGGATCCACTTGGATCTGTCCACGTCATTAGTGCACAATAATCCTCTCGGATTTCTAGATACTTTATTGGACTTAACCAGTTGGGAGTTCGATTCAGTTTACCAAAGGAGCTTGATCTTTACCAATACGGAGTTCGCTCTTATTCAACATATAGTTCGCATAAAAGAAGGCCAAAGCGAGGAGAATATTGTTCGGGGTTTGCGGCAGCGTCAAGACGCAGGAGTTCGGAGTCAACAAGAAAGGGTTCAAAAGATCCACGCGAAGCCCAAGATAGTTCAAATTCAAGCCGTTTCGGTCAAATTGTAACCTACATGATTAATGCGGATCAATGCAATTATGAGCAGTAAATGGCCGCATTGATCATGTTTTCTCTATAAAAACAACCTCAAACGCGTGTGTTTGGGGAGAGAACAACTTTTTCCTCGTACGATCAAGCAATACAACATACTTTTTCTTTTACAATTTTGCAAGGCTTTTTACCATTTTATTCTTTCCAAGTTCTTTCGCTTTATTTAGTTTCTTGGTTACTTCCCTTTTCAATTCCATATTTTCATTTGCTGATTTTAGAGTTTTTCTCCACAAATATACTTAAAGACAATCGAGTGTGAATCCTACATCCACATTTTGGCGCCGCCTGTGGGGAGTTACCGCAAAACTCTTTGATCTCAAAATCTCTCTTTTTCAAACCAAGAAACTATGGCTGATCAGCAAGCTTTGAGCAATGCAATTGCCTCGCTTACTCAGTCAACCACCGATTTGACCAATCAGATGAGTAACTCACTAGTGCCAACGCCACTTTTGGCGAAAGGTTAAACTTAATCGAGCAAACTTTAACGAGTGTTCAAAATACTCAAACAAATTTATCAAACGCACAGAACGTTGTTTCAAGCCGTCAAACGGAATAATCCTGATGGACTCAACAAAACAATTCATAAAAAAAAAAATAAAAAAAAAAAAAAAAAAAAAAAAAAAAGCGTTCCTACACCTCTGGAGAACCCTCATGTGGCCGAGAACCTTCACCTACCTCGAATTGAGATGGGGAGTCTCCAAATACCAAAGAAAATTGTTTCAGATCGAGAGTAGGACGGGAAGCCGAGAATAACTCGGACTCAACCATAGCGAGTTCGGCAGCAACTTCGCTCCTCTCGTTCTCGAACGAAACTCTCCCAGCCTCTAGTTCCTTAATCAGGTCTAGATTGCTCTTCAGTTCGGCTCGATCTGTTAGAAGTTTAGTCCAGACCTCTTCGTCCTTGATGAACTTCGTAACAGATTGAATATGTTGCCTACCGAATCCCCTCATCTCTTCTCGAGCAGTATGTTCGGCTTCAGCGATATCGCGAGCCTTGTTCCTAGTTAAAAGCTCGATCTCTTGATTTGCTTCTTCGAACAAAGCCGTATTCTCCTCTAGCTCAGCCTCCAAGCGAGAAGCATTAGACCTCGCAGAATCTCTTTCAGCATTCGCAATTCTGATGCGTTGCTCGTTAGCTGCTAGAGTTTTCTTCATATTTTCAAAAGATGACTCGAGTGCTTTTTCCCGCTCAAATCGCTCGGATTGGTTGGCTAATCTGAGATCATCAACCTCCTTCTTAGCCTTTGCGGTCTCTCTCTTCGCTTGATGAAGAAGGTTCTCATAATTGAAGATCATTCCATTAGTCTCCATAAACGCCTTCGGAGTAAAAAAAAAAAAAAAACGTGTCATTTAGACAAAAAGCTTTTACCTAAGGAAGGGAGATTGTCATAATCTAAAAGATCCGAACCTGGGATAGGTAGCGAGCTCGATTGGCAAACATCTGACGGATTTCCGGCCTCCAAACCGAAAAAGGAGGAAGGGATGCCCCTTCCCTGGTTTGGAAACTTCGGAAGATGTCTCCAATCTCTTCTCCGCCTACGAAGCAGAGGAGAATAGCATATTAATAGATGCAATCCGTGGCAAGTTTTGCTAATGTTCGTTTTCTAAGTAAAAACTTACCTGAAATCGAAGCGGGTAAATGATTTTGAGTCCTAACACTCAGTCCTTGAGATAAGGGAGCCGCCGGTCTCGGCTCACCTGTTGCCTCTGAAATTACTTTGTCTCCCGGAAGAGGGAGCTCGGAGTTTAAAGGTTCTGAAGAGGGAGAAACAGAACGTAGAGGGCTAGAGACTCGTGGCGGAGAACTTAATCTCACGGTTTTAAGTCTCTCGCTTGATAGATTATCAGAATCTGGAGCATTCCTCTTTGTACAAGGAGAGGAGGTTATTTCTCCCTCACACCCTGGTTCGGAAGGGCAAATTGCGGTGGCAACTGGAGGGTCGTTAAGGATCTCGGCTCCATGAGTATCCCCTGCGGCTGACAGGGCTGCTTCTAATGAACCATCATCAACCAAGAGGGTCTTCTTGTGGAAGTTACCAACCCTGGAGATTGCAGCTATCCGTTTCTTTCTCTTGATTTCGGATAGCTAATCCTTAAGAGCCTTGATTTCACCCTGCATCTTCCTTTTATCTTGAGCATTCAGGCTCGAGACGTCTTTCTCCTCGGGAGGAGGATCGAGGGGGTGAGTCTGACCGTCTTTAATGGCGAGCCCCGCTTTATGAATGCATTGAAGGGTGAAGGAATTCCAATTTGTTTCACCCTCGGAAACGATTCGAAAGAAGGACAAGAAGTCAACGGTTGGGCGGGGGATCGTCTGGTTCCCTGAAACAAAGTATTGGGTTACGAATTCCATCTCTTTTGCTTAATACAGTAGAAAGTAGTAAATGTTGTATTTTTAACCAAGCTTAGCCGACCAATTGGCGAGAAGGAGACCGGAAAGACCTTGAACGGAATGGGGATTGACTCGGAAAAAGAACCAGTATTTCCTCCAAGGCCCATCATTCGAGGGCATTTCGTCGATCATGTTACGGTCAAGGATAGGGTTTATAGAAAAAATACCCGCTGCTGCGGATTCACGGGCTAGAAATAGCCCTAAGAGTTCGCTAGTGGAGAGGGAAAACCCTGCTTCTGCCGAAACGGTCAGGGTACTCAGAACGTATCAAAGAAAGTTGGGAGCCATTTGGGGAAAGGCAATCCCTAGGTTGAGGAGGTATAAAATAAGAACTTCCGGAACGGGAAAAAACAAACCACAACCTTTGAAATAGACTTCGTACGCACAACAGTAACCCTCTCCCACCACTTCTGGAGACTCGTTGGGTCTAGGAAGAGAGAATTCAATTTCCTGGGGGATGTTACAAAGGCGGCGAAGAGCGCCAAGGGAAGCAGAGGTCGACTGAGACCTGAAATGCGGACCAAATTTGTCTCCCCTTTGGGTGAAAACTTCATCCCCTCTGGGAACAGAGATTCCTTGACTGTCATCTTCGTTTTTGGAAACATAGACAGCCGGGGAAGACATCTTTTACTAAGAGGTTTTTCTTTTTCTGCTTCGGTAAAAGCTTTAGGGGTAAATGTATGCTGCTGTAAAAGTCGTCGTTCCATTTAACCTTATTTACCGAAAAACCGCCTCGAGAATATTGGGAAGTGGGACAGTTTTCCCCGTGGTATTAATATAAAATTAAGAAATTAATGATGACGGTTGTCAGGGAAATCAAATCATCTGATTATCCGAGATCAGCGTAATAGCGAATAACATGGAATAATTTCGGAATGTTAAAGATCTCGAGTCATTAATTACAGTTTACTTAAGTCTTCCAAGCCGAGCACTCAGCTCGCAAGACTTGGGAGGCTAAATGTTGGGGTCGGATCCCACACATCTTTGGTAGGATCCACTTGGATCTGTCCACGTCATTAGTGCACAATAATCCTCTCGGATTTCTAGATACTTTATTGGACTTAACCAGTTGGGAGTTCGATTCAGTTTACCAAAGGAGCTCAATCTTTACCAGTACGGAGTTCGCTCTTATTCAACATATAGTTCGCATAAAAGAATGCCGAAGCGAGGAGAATATTGTTTGGGGTTCGCTGCAGCGTCAAGACGCAGGAGTTCGGAGTCAACAAGAAAGGGTTCAGAAGATCCACGCGAAGCCCAAGATAGTTCAAATTCAAGCCGTTTCGGTCAAATTGTAACCTACATGATTAATGCGAATCAATGCAATTATGAGCAGTAAATGGCCGCATTAATCTTGTTTTCTCTATAAAAACAACCTCAAACGCGTGTGTTTGGGGAGAGAACAACTTTTTCCTCTTACGATCAAGCAATACAACATACTTTTTCTTTTACAATTTTGCAAGGCTTTTTACCATTTTATTCTTTCCAAGTTCTTTCGCTTTATTTAGTTTCTGGGTTACTTCCCTTTTCAATTCCATATTTTCAATTACTTTTAGTTTTTCTCCACAAATATACTTAAAGACAATCGAGTGTGAATCCTACATCCACAAGGACCTAAAGTGCAAGGCAGGGTAAAAGAACCAGGATCTCCCAATTTCTTGGGTATGATCTTCTTCTGGATGATTGCACTACACTCGTGAGTTAACACCACCATTCCTTGGACTTCTCTGATCCTCTCAGTAATCATATCCTTCACGTATTTATGGGAGTCTGGTATCAGCGCAAGACAGTCAAGAAGAGGCATAGTGACTTCAAGATCTTTGAGTTGTTTTCCAGGAGAGCCTTGTACTTCTGTATAAGAACGTTCTTAAACCGACCAGGAAATGGGAGTGGAGGCTTGTAAGGTGGGGGAACGAAGATGTTTTCCTTGGTTTTGGTAGCAGCTGGTTTTTCAACAGATTCAGATACTGTATGAACTGGTGATCGAGTAGATGGATTGAGTATGGGCACTGGTGATCGAGTAGATGGATCGAGTATGGGTTCCTCTGTTGTCTTTTCAGCTGAATCTTCATTCTGACAAAAATCATGGGAGTGGAGGCTTGTAAGGTGGGGGGAACGAAGACGTTTTCCTTGGTTTTGGTAGCAGCTGGTTTTTCAATAGATTCAGATGCTGCAGGAACTGGTGATCGAGTAGATGGATCGAGTATGGGCACTGGTGATCGAGTAGATGGATCGGGTATGGGTTCCTCTCTTGCCTTTTCAGCTGAATCTTCATTCTGACAAAAATCCTCCCCATCTTGTTCCACACTGTCCTCAGTGTTTTGCTTTGGACCTTCTCTCGTGGGTAATTCTTTACCGATTCTGAGCGTGATAGCATTGGCATACTCCTTTGGATTCTGGATTGACTTCCCTGGAAGTTCTGTGACCTTGGGAAGAGAAGTTGATAAAGTTTGGCCTTCCATGTATCTGATCTTTGAATTCAATGTTTCAACCTTGATGTTGAGATCATTATAACTGCAGTCCATCTTATTGTTCATTTCGGCCAGCTTCTTAGCAATCTCCATTGAGCCATATGCTTGTCCTTGAAGAAGCTGTTGGAGCATTTGTTTAAGGTCTGAGTCAGGAGCGCTAGAGGTTTGTTGTTGCTGTGGTACAAACCCAGGTGGTGGATGTTGTGGTTGATAACCTCCCTGAAACTGTTGCTTAGGAACAAACCCTTGTCCTTGGTTGTATGGGACAAATGGTTTGGGTTGGGTCTGCTGTTGTGGAGGGTAGACTTGATCCTGTGGGTTTGCAATGTTGGTACTTCTGTAAGACAGATTGGGATTGTTCTGCTTGAATTTGTTGTAGCCCTTGTTGTAGCCTCCTTGGTTTTGCACATAGCTTACTTCTTTTGACTGAAGAGTCTCCCCATCCTGGACTTGGAACGTCTCATCCTCACAGAGAAAATGGACTTGCTTCTGTTGCACAAGAAGTAGTTTGTCCAGCTTGTCATTCATGGCCTTCATGTCCCTGCGGTGCTTCTCCTCTAAGTCTGAACTTCCTCTGATGGCTCTGTCATAATCTTCATTGTAGTTTCCATCAGACTGAGCTAAATTCTCTACCAGCTCCCATCCTTCTTCAACTTCCTTGTTCAGGAAATTCCCGTTGGATGCTGTATCCAGGAGCATCCGGATCTTAGGGAGGACTCCTCTGTAGAGAGTACTCATGAGTGAGGCTTTGGAGAAACCGTGGTGAGGACATTGAGTCTGATATCCTTTGAAACGCTCCCATGCTTCATAGAAAGTCTTAGCATTCTTCAGAGTGAAGCCGAAAATCTCATTCCGGAGTCTTGCAGTCCTGGAGTTGGAGAAGAATTTAGCTAGGAAGGCTTTCTTGCGGTCATTCTAGGAGGTGATGGAGCCTTGAGGAAGTGATTTTTCCCACTGGTGGGCTTTGTCTCCAAGTGAAAATGGAAACAATCTGAGCTTGAAGCCATCCTCACTGACTCCATTGATCTTTGTTAGGCTGCAGAGCCTATCAAACTCGTCCGGATGATCTAGTGGATCCTCCATGGGGAGGCCGTGAAACTTGTTGCCCTGAACCATGGAAATGAGACCACTATTGATCTCGAAGTTGTTGTTCTGCACTGGTGGAGGCGCTACAAGAAAACATGGATTTAGCGACTACAAGAAACGTCACTAAAGAGTCGCTAAACATATAATAACGACTAATTAGCGACTAATAAACGTTGTTGCCGAACACTGCGTCGCTAAAATTAATAGTAGCCTAATAGTCGCTAAATAGCGACCATTCTGCGACAACTATTTTAAGTCGCTGTTACGTCGCGTATGAGTCGCTAAATTGGCGACTGTTTTGCTACTAATAGGTCACTATTTGGCGACTGTTTTGGCGAATAATTGGTGACTGCGGAATCGACAAAAAGACATTACAAGGCGACTGTTTTATGAATGTTTTAGTGACTGAATTGCTATCGTTTTGCGACTTATTGGAGGTTTATTTATCGATTTTGCCTACTTATTTTGATTCCAATTACGTTTGCAATTACTAATTAAAACCAAACATACAAAAACAACTTTTGAATTAAAAGAAGTTCTTAATAAACATAAAAACATACAAGTTCACAAGACCAAAAGTACAAGTCTAAAATATAAAGTTCACAAGACATAAATACAAACATACTTGTACCATAAGTACATGACCAAAAGATCAAGTTCAAGTTTTTGAGTTAAGAGGAGAGAAAGCTAAGTAGCAGGAGTAGTACCATCAGCATTAGCAGCAGGAGTTGGATTTGGTTGGACCTCTGAATGATCATCCTCCGCAGCAGGAGTTGATTGGGAATTGAGGAAGGCCAGGAAATTAGGGTCAGATTCACTCAGGTACTTCTTCATCATCGACAAATGCTTGATCTCAGCTGCTTGTGATGGTGCGACCCGCAATGCCTCTGCTTCACGTGCTGCTTGTAAAGCTGCTTGTTCCTCTATCTTGCGGTTAGCATCCTCAAGCTGTGACTACAGGGTTGTGAAAGAAGAGCTGCTTCCTGCGTACTTACGCTTCCCATTGATGTAAACCCCTAAGCTGTCAATTCCAAAGTAATCCCCTCTATCATTTGTGACAGTAGACTGGAAAACAAAGTAAAAACATTAGTGCTTAACAGATAAAAGTAGACTACAGAGAAAAAGACAAGACTACTACCTGAAGAAATATCTCATCATCCTCCTTATGAGACAGCTCAGACTGACGCGAATTACCATCAGACAGTTCATCATTCTCTTGTAGGGCAGCCAACTTAGCTGCCTTGTTCTTGAGATATGCCTCATGGATTTCCTGCGCCTTCCTATCCACAAATATCCCATCCTTCTTGGTATGAGTTCTAATGAACACTTCTCCAATAGTAGGAGGTCTTCCCAATTAAACTTCCTGAAATATAGTAACAGAGATGTCAGCAAGTAATAAACAAAACAAGTATTTAAAACAGACATGTAACTTACCATCTCTTTCTCCACTTGTAAAAAGGACTTTGGACCAGAAACATGCTTGTGAGGACCAAGACCATTACGGTCATACATCCTAGCTACTGATGTGGTTGAACTCTTGGATTGGGCTTCTTCAGTAGCCCAATACTTACACATCTTTCTCCACAGAGTTCTCTCAATCCAAGACGGCCTCACTCTTTTTGACCCTGCCTTACTAACCATGTCTTTCAAACGCAATGCAATGATCTTATAGAACTTGGCTTCAATCACACCTGTGTGTGAGGGATGCCAGGTGTGTGTTTTCTACAAAACGTACAGGAGATGTTAGTTATCAGAAAAAATAAAACATTATCAAACAAAACAAAACAGTAGTAGAAGAGGGATAGAAGTTTACCACGAATTCAAGAAAGTATCTTTCTCTTCTTCCAGTTGGCACACAGCTCTAATTGTAGTATGGTCCATCAAACTTGTTTGTAAAACACTTAGTGATCTTCCGGGTCAGCTTAACCTTATCCTTACCAAACCTACAAGAAAACATAATACAGTTAGCTATGAATTCCAATTGATAACAAGAAGACCTAATCTATATGTAGACCTAACAGACTATACTAAAACAGACACAAAACAATACTAAAACAGACAAAAAACTAT